CAGCGCACGTGATCTTTCGTGGCTAATAACGTCAACTTTGACATTTCAAGCTTGTTCATACCTGTGCTTACTGTTCATACTCGTTAATGCGCGCTCTATAGCTTGCTTAAAATACTCCAAAAATCAGTCGCTTTCCAAAATATGTTCATATGAATACAAAGTGAGCTAAACATGTTATCTTATCAATACTATTGGAAAAAATTTACCTTATTTCAAATCACGGACTTTAGTCCGTGATTTGAAATAAGTATTGGGGTTTTATGCGAAAATTTGGGCATGATGTAAATAACTGTTTAAAAGGACGTCTGATCAGGAATTATTGCATGCTTGGAGCATCCTTTAGTCACATAATGGATAAAGTTTTAGCTAGTAAATTTTGCCCTAATAGCACATTAATAATTCTTGTTGGGAGAAGAGGCAATGTAAACAAAAAACGATTATTAAAATATATTGATTATCTAAATACTTTAAATGTACGTAAACGTGTTTAACAAAGCACACAGAAGGCATACTACTGCTAGATAGATTGTATGACATATTAGCAATTGCATACCTTCGGTGGCTTTGAAAAAAGCCGTTTGGGGTTGCTTGAGCGAAAGAAAAAGATATTTACATACAATACTATACATGAACAGAAGAAAAGCATGAACAAAGTACAAACCAACTATGTACAAAATTAAAAAAAAAACCAATCATTTATATTCTAAATCGAAATATCTCTCATTCTTAAGGAAAGATTAGATTACGTCCGCGTAAAATGTTGGTGAACGTTTTAATTGTATCAATAACTGTTTGGTTATAAAATTTGTCATCTACAGTATTTATAGAAGAAAAATTGCGTTCAAGAACCCACTCAGTCTCGCGATATTAATTTGGTCATAGTTTTGGTCTGTAAAATTTTCGTTTTGTCTTCTGGTTGGTCATACGCTTAGTTTTTATTTGTATTGATAAATAATAATTTAACCATATCAAGCGTGATAATAACATTAATATTTAGAGAAACAGAACGTTGTTTCAAATGAAACCTGTATGAACGAATGAAACAGTTAGCTTAAGAGCCAGTGAGCGGCAGACTTTCGGTGTTTCAATAAGCTTAATTTTTTTTTCAGTTAATCCCCTATACCTGAGGTACATGGAACGGGGACTCTTTACTTTGACCGGCGGTCGACATAGAGATACTCAGGTGTTAAAGGTGTAAAAAATGACCCAAAAAAACGTGATAGCAATAAATCTGCCGCTTTGACATCTTGAAATCTATAATACAAAAATGAATCGCTGAATGTGTTGCTAAGCGCAAATCTCGAGAGCAGCTGAATCGATTTCGCTAATTCTTTTTTTATAATGTTCTTGGAAGTACGAAGATGGTTCATACGGAGAGAAAAATTTAAAAAAAATTGCCTGAAAAAGTCTAGAAACAACACTTTTCTATATTCCCATACAAAAGATTCGTAATAATACTTAAAAGTCAATTTGAACTTTAATACCATACCATAAAGTTTTAAGTATTAGTGGAGGGGTTCCGGGAAGGCAAAACAATTGAGTGACGTTAGTATCGTATAAATATTAACGTCAATATTTGTCAATATTTATACACACTGGCAGATAGCTGATGTTATAAGGAGTAACTTGGGCTGCTTTTATTTTAGGGTTCCGCAAAAAATAATTCCACGCGGGCGAAGTCGCGGGGAACAGCTAGTATTTAATAAAAGTGAGCAAAAAATAACATTGGCAGACACCTATGATGGTTTCAAGTTCATTGCAGACAGGTTGAAAAGTACGATTTTTTATTAATAATTTACGTTATTTCAATAAAGATGCAATTTATATATATTGTTGATAATATTATTTGACATGCATAATTTTCACGGCAGACATATACTGTGGTTGTATACTCGTATGTCCCAGGCAGACAACAAACTTCTGGGGCGTCATTGAGTTATATGTACTACGTACTAGAGAAGCCATTCCGAACATTGACTATGTTCAACTGAACTGTAGTGCAATCTATACAAACATAATATTGCGTAAATTGAAGATTTGTGAATTCCATAAAATAATTATTATTACATTTTATTTAGAAATATGTTTGTTTAGATTAAATTAAGATATTTTATATTAAATTCTTATATTTATTTTATATTAATATCTTATTTTATATTAAATTAAAGTCTTCGCGCATGCGCAACTACTACTCCCGCGCATGCGCGAAGACATAGAGTAGGACACAATTTTTGTTTGGAATGGCTTCTCTAGTACGTAGTACATATAACTCAATGTGGGGCGTCCATAAGCGCGTACTATAATAGCACTTGCTCTAATCTAGTCTTTTTCTTTCAAGTTTTGTTTAATGAAAAACTCCATGTATGAAATTTGTTTTACTCATAACAACAAAAAAAATCATAAATTCATTTAAAACGGTTAAAAATAAATATTTTAAAAATTTATGAGCAACGTGGTGATTTATTGAGTGTAAGCTTGCTTGGTTTCTATGCATTTACGGGCTGTAATTATAATCCAGCTTTTTTTTAATAAGGGAAAAAACTACCTTTTACCTTACTATAGAAAACTCAGACATACCAAGAAGCCTTCGCAGCTTTTGGTTTTTTTTAACTTATTATAAGCCAGTGCTTGACTACAATCCCACCTGGTGGTAAGTGGTGATGCAGCCTTGGATGGTAAATCGCACTGTATCATCGTAACAAAAGCCTACTCACTCTTGCCTTGAAGGCGCCCAGATTGTATTCGGGCGGAAAGATAGACGCCGACAAATTATTCCACTCATTTGCTGTACGCATTACAAAAGACGAACCAAACCTTTTGGTTCTAATGCGTGGAATATCGACAACAAAGGGATGAAGACCCGCCGACCGCCTGGTTATCCGATGGTGGAAAGGAGAGGGAGGAATTAAAGCGTGTGATTCTTGTGCACACTCACCGAAATGCATCCTATATAATATAATATAGAATACCGAGAGACTGCCTACTCTGCACCTGTGCTCGAGGCTGACAAGATTGGATTCAACCAAATCAAGGTCACCAATGAGCCTCTTAGCACGTCTCTCCATTGACTCCAATACTGCCAAGTGACATTTTGCAGCACCAGCCCATATGTGACAGCAGTACTCCATGCACGACAGGACTTGCGCTTTATATAAGGTGCAGCTGCCCCGGTGTGAAGTACCGCCGCACCCTTGCAAGGACACCAAGTTTCCTTGCGGATTCTTTGGCTCTGGACTCAATGAACCGCCCATAGCTTAGGTTCGGAGAAAATTCAATCCCTAATAACTGAAGGCGGTTAATTATTAGGGATATTTATTATTATTATTTTTAATTTTGCTGAGAACCAAAAACAACAGCATTTTATGTTGTCCAAAAGTTTACCTGTCAAATATATAATGCATCGAAATCAGTAGATGTAGATGATGGTGTCGGCGCCGTTACGACAGCACCGACGGTGTTTGCGGGGAGTATGTGAAGTGCGGGGGGTTTCTCACCACCGCGCCTAAGACCGGCACTTGCCGATAGCTCGCGACCCGATCGCCACCAAATATTTTGTATTTTTCATTCCTTTTAAATATACAATTTGCCTATCGTGTGAGTCGCCTATTTTATTCATGTTCCCTAAATGAACATAGTGGCGACCGTGATAAATTAAAATATCGAATTCCGATTTCGCCGCGTAATACGGTCCAAAGGTCGTAGCACTTACCCCGCGTTTACAACGTCGCGAACGCAAGTACTACGAGCTACGAGAACAAAGGAAGCCACGCCGATCTACTACATCAGCTAAGAAGATTATTAAATTGGCGTACCATCCCGAGTCCTAAGAACAACAAAGCGGTCAAGAAGAATTCATCTGGAGCGGAGAGAAGACAAGAGGACAGCTATTGAGAACCGGCCAAGCTGAGGTCCAGCGGAGTCTACGCGCCACATCAGCGGTTTTTGCCAACTAAAAGTGAGCCCGTTCCTATTATTTTACCTCTTCGTGTCCCACTATTCCTAAAAATTCTATTTGTGTGAACAGGGAAACAAGGAATCTAGTCCTATTTTTTGTTGCCTTACCCTACCTACCTATTCTTAAGCAACATCCTTTATATTCCTTGTCTATCTTATACCCTTTCGTATATAAAACTGCTAATCTAAATAAACTATTCCTACTCAATAATCCTACCAAATAAAATACCTATTAAAACAATCCTAAAAGAATTACCTAGTTAAACCTACCTACAATCTACATACCTAACGAGTTAAAATCACCTATTTACACCTATTTGCTTGCCTATCAGCTAATTTTCTATTATTTCTTACTATTATTTCGCCGCATCATTTGCTAAGTAATCAGTGCTATTTTTCAAGCCGCCTATAATTTGCATTCATTGCGCCTATTTTACGACTTGAAAGTCTTCACTAGCATTTAATTAGTTAGTAGCCACTGTTAAATAGTTAGAATTTAAATAGCTGAACCTATTTCTTTAAACGTAAGCATACACATACTATGTACATAGCTACGCAAAAATTTGAGCTTAACTCCTCAATGCAAGTAAATTCACTTCTCGCTATTCACTGTTAGCTGTTTATGCACGCAAATAAATTAGTCATCACTATAGCATAATCATTCGCTAAGCCCTATATTACGCTAATTAAACCATTATTTGCACAAATCAATTAAATTTACGATCAACCTTGCTTCCCGTTATTATTTTATGTACGGAGATATCTGCAAAGCATTCCAACAATCAATTTCAGCTACGGTGCAGCGGTCGCTCGAGACTATCATCGCATCCCGTGTCACTGCCAGCACTGCGGGCTCACGTCGTGGTACTGGACCGCGGGCGTCGCGCGTCATCAATCCCACCTTTCACCGCGCTTCTGCTGATTTTGAACCGGTTTCCGTCACAGCGGCCACGAAGCGAGGAACGTATTGTATGCAATTCTTATTTATTTGATTAGTACAGCGCATAACTAGTTGTTTTGATTGTCTGCGCGTTAACTTTGCTAGTATGGAGGCAAAGTACAAAACTCTTAATTTAAAACGCGCTTCAATTAGAGGCCGTGTTACGAAATTTAATAACCATTTAGAAGAATTAAAAGGTAAAAAGCTTACTCCTACGGAAGTTAGCGTGCTATCGCAGCGATTAGTTAAACTTGAGACTTTATTTGGCGAATTCGATAGCGTGCAAAATCAGATTGAAGCATTGGAGGAAAATAATTTAAGCTTAGAATTGGATACCAGAGAAGTTATCGAACAAGCTTTCCACAATTCGATCGCATTGGCTCAGGAAATTATTTCCGTAAGCAGTACGACAAAAAAGTCGTCGCTTCAGCATAGCAGTATTTACACAGCTGATGAAGATGATCACGAAGTTATCGGCTTTCGTTTACCAGTCATTAAAATTAATAAGTTTGATTGTACGTTCAACAAATGGTTGGAATTTCGTGATACGTTCAGTTCTCTGATACATAATAATACAAAAATAAAAAATATACACAAATTTCATTATTTAAATTCCTATCTAGAAGGTGAAGCTGCTCGTGTAATATGTAATTTAGAAGTTTGCGACAATAATTATCCTGAGGCATGGAGTCTTCTTTGTGAGCGTTTTAATAATATTCGTCAATTAATAAATAATCATTTGAAGTCTTTGTTTAATATTGAGCCGTTGCGTGAGTCTGACAAGTCATTAAGATTTCTAGTAGACCACGTCACAAAAAACCTACGTGCTTTAAATACTTTAAAACAGCCAACTGATCATTGGGATACCCTGATCATATTCATAGTCTCAGCGAAATTAGACAGCAACACGCGTGTTAAATGGGAGGAGTACATTCAAGCTAATGTTAATGCTTCGGATATGCCTAGCCTAGATGATTTCATGACTTTTATTAAGGGCCGCGCTGAAGTTTTAGAGTCTGTTTATCGCAGTAAACAAGACAAAAATATAAAGTCAAACCCGAATCACAATCAAGGCGTCAAACAAAATCCCGTTTCTCATACTAAGTCATTCGTTAGCGCTGAGCAGGGCGACTCATCAGCAACTGCCCCTCACAAGTGTATTTTCTGTGGTCAAGGTCATCTTAATTATGAGTGCTCACAATTTCAATCGAAATCTATTGATGATAGACTTTCATTAGTGTCTGAGCTAAAGTTGTGTCCCAACTGTTTGCGCAAAGGGCATAATACGCGCGCCTGCAAGCTTCCAGGTACGTGCAAGATATGCAAAAAACGTCACAACACCTTTTTACACAAACCTACGGATTCTGATACCAATGTGGCAGTCACTAATGTTGCAGTCTCTGAGCCAGTTTCAATGTCAGCTGTTTCTGCTTCTGAGACACTACTATGTACGGCTTTGGTTGATATTTTTAATCCCAAAACAATCAATTACATTACCACTAAAGCTCTCTTAGACAACGGTAGTCAGTCTAGCTTTATTACAGAATCACTTAAATCAAAGTTAAATTTAACTTCTTCCACGTCTGATGTTAGGAATGTGGTCGGCATATGTAACACTATTGTCAAGCTTAATGCTGAACGTTGCAATGTTCGAATTCATTCAAAGGTAGGTTCTTTCAGCGTTATGACGTCATGTTTAGTCATACCCCAAATATCAGGTAAGATACCTAAGTCTCTTGTGTCTATTACACACCTTAACCTGAAGTCCTTTGCATTAGCAGACCCCAGCTTTTATGAGCCGTCTGACATAGGACTGCTCATCGGTGCTGACCTATTTTGGTCCATTATTGGAACCAAACAGCACTCTTTAGGCAAAGGAAATCCTATTCTACATGAGTCTAAATTAGGATGGCTTATCGCAGGTCCCATGCATTATATTCAAAATGACAATCTCAATTTAAATTCCCCAGTGAAATGTAATTTTGTAAGTATTGAAAGCAACAATACTTTTGTTGAGCTTCACAATGATTTGAAGAGGTTTTGGGAGCTTGAAAGCTTGCCACAAAGGCCCCTTCTTACAGACCAAGAGAAAGCTTGCGAACAACATTTTTTACAGCACACAAAACGCACTGAAGAAGGTCGTTTTTGTGTCAAGCTGCCATTGATCGACAAACCAGACTGCCTAGGCACTTCCTATTTCATAGCCAGGCGGCGATTTATAAACCTGGAACGTCGCTTTCGCAAGCAACCGGAACTTAAGTCCGCCTATGTTGATTTCATTGAGGAGTATCGCAAACTAGGACATCTAGCAATATCTGAGGTAGACCGACCTGAGCTTGCCTATTTTGTTCCGCATCATCCTGTCATTCGTGAAGACAGTGAGTCAACACGTCTACGCGTCGTTTTTGACGCATCAGCTCGCACTTCATCTGGTTTGTCTATAAACGACATTCAAATGATAGGCCCTACAGTTCAAGACTCTCTTTTCAATATCCTCATCCGGTTCCGGCAATATCGTTATGTGTTGTCAGCGGATATTGAAAAAATGTACCGGCAGGTTTTAATAGATGAGTCTGACCGAAACCTACAGCTGATTTTATGGCGTGATGCGGAGGACAAACCATTACAAACACTCAGGCTTAACACGGTCACCTACGGATTTGCTAGCGCTAGTTTCCTTGCCACCAGGTGTCTCTGGCAAGTGGGCGAGGAGTGTGACGATGACGTTATTAAGGCAGTCATACAGGAGGACATATATGTTGATGACTTACTAACTTCTAGCGATGATGAAGATCAATTACGGTCTATACAGAAATCAACACATGTGGCTCTTTCTATGGCTGGTTTTGACTTGCGTAAGTACCGATCCAACTTACCTTCTTTACTGCCTTCAGACGTTGTCCAGTCATCCGGCAACCTGACATTGAGTCAGTCTACAAATACGCTGGGCCTAGATTGGAGTCCTTAGACCGACAGCATTAATTTTCCCATTACAGTGGATCAGTCTGACGTCGTCACCAAGCGCACTATACTTTCTTCAACTTTCAAGATCTTCGATCCCTTGGGCCTCCTATCCTTGTCCACTATCGTTCCCAAAATTTTAATTCAGACCTTATGGTCTCTCAAATTGGACTGGGATGAGCCCGCTCCAAAGGATATTTTCGATGTCTGGAGACCTTTTGTTGATGGACTTAAATACCTTTTTTCACTAAATATACCTAGATGGGTATCAATAGAATATCCAGTCTCTGCCTAAATCCACTGTTTTTGCGATGCATCGCAACGCGCCTATGGTGCATGCTTGTACCTTCGCTCTACAAATAAAGAAGGACAAATACATGTCCAACTTTTATGTGCGAAATCTCGCGTTGCCCCAGCATCCAGCCCTATTACAATTCCTCGTTTGGAGCTTTCAGGTGCTCTTCTGGCAGCTGAAATGAGCTCATCTGTGACCAAGGCCTTGCGACGTAAAATATCGCGTCATGTCTATTGGACTGACTCGAGCGTAGTTCTTAGTTGGTTGCGCTGCGGTTCTTCTAACTTGAAAGCATTCGTTGCCAACAGAGTCGCCGCCATTAGAGAGCTGACTGACGCAAATTCATGGCACCACGTTCCTACAGAACACAACCCAGCTGACCTGCTATCCCGTGGCGTGAACCCACAACAGATCGCTGCATGTGATATGTGGTGGTATGGACCTAAGTTTTTATCGTTGCCAGAGTCCGAGTGGCCTTCTATGCAGTCGCAGACTATTATTGAGATGAAGAATTTGCCGGAAGTTAAAGCACATCCAGTTGCTATTTGTGATAATTATCAATCAATTATTAACTTTAACAAATATTCTAAATTAAAACAATTACAACACATTTTAGCCTATGTACATAGATTTATTAATAACTGTAAAAATTCTAAAACTAAAATTACAGGTTCCTTAACTACCGCCGAGCTCAATAAAACTCTTAATTCATTAGTGTATATTTCCCAATTAGAGGCATTCCCTAAAGAATACGACTTATTATTAAAAGGAAATTCCCTAAGTCCTAAGTCGCACATTTCGGCACTTAATCCATTTTTACATGAAGGAGTGATAAGAGTAGGTGGTCGAATTCAGGCTTCTGAATATAGTTTCGATATGAAGCATCCCATGTTGTTAAGCTCTAAACACCATTTTACTCAACTTTTATTCCAACAAGAACACGTACGGCTTCTACATCTGGGGCCCCAAGCCTTACTGGCTTCTATTAGAACGCGTTTTTGGCCCATTAGTGGAAGAAGTCTGGCTAGACGTGCTGTGCATAATTGCACCGTATGTAGGCGTTTTAAGGGTCAGTCTATGAAAAACATAATGGGCAACCTACCTGCTCAAAGACTAATGCCCGACTTTCCTTTTATTACAGTAGGGACTGATTTCGCTGGGCCATTTATGGTCACGGATCGCAAAGGTCGTGGTTGTAAAATTACAAAATGTTATTTGTGTATTTTCATATGTTTTAGGTATAAGTGCATCCATTTGGAGGCTGTTAGTGAGCTGTCCAAGGATGCTTTTATATTAACTTTGAGACGCTTTGTTTGACGGAGAGGGCTACCAAAGCAGATATTCTGCGACAATGGTGGAAACTTTGTAGCTGCTTCAAAGGAACTTAAAGAGTTTTTTGAAGTTAATGCCAAAACTATCGCTAATTTTGCCGCTAACGAAGGCGTTGAATTTTGTTTTTCACCTGCATACGCTCCTCACTTCAATGGTTTGATGGAGGCCGGTGTAAAGTCAGCCAAATTCCACCTGGCTAGGATATTAGGGACTACGCACCTAACCTACGAGGAATTGTCATCTTTGTTCACACAAATAGAATGTATCCTAAATAGCCGCCCCCTATGTCCATTAAGTTCCTCTCCCACGGACTATTATCCCTTAACTCCGGGCCACTTTTTAATTGGTAGACCACTAAGCTCGCTGCCATCTCCGTGTCTACAATCCGCTAATGCCAATCGTCTCGACAGATTCCAGCGCATCGAGCAGTTTAAGCAACACTTTTGGCGACGCTGGAGCCACGAGTACATTGCGGAGCTGCAGTTGAGGACGAAGTGGCGCACGAAGTCCAAAGAGAGCCTACAAATTGACGACCTAGTCCTCTTGAAAGAGGAAAACGCTCCACCGCTCTATTGGCGTCTCGGACGTGTAAGAAAACTCTTCCCGGGATCTGACGGATTGACACGCGTCGCAGATATAGACACTGCAAGAGGAATTGTGCGGCGCGCCCTAAACAGAATCGTCCTACTACCGAAGCCCGATGAGTTGGAAGATCTTGAAAGCTGTTAAGCTTTCCAGCGCCGGGAGTATGTCGGCGCCGTTACGACAGCACCGACGGTGTTTGCGGGGAGTATGTGAAGTGCGGGGGGTTTCTCACCACCGCGCCTAAGACCGGCACTTGCCGATAGCTCGCGACCCGATCGCCACCAAATATTTTGTATTTTTCATTCCTTTTAAATATACAATTTGCCTATCGTGTGAGTCGCCTATTTTATTCATGTTCCCTAAATGAACAGATGGCAGGTTCCATCTTTTTATAAATAGTTATAGACCAAAAGATTTGAATGAAAAATTTAGTAAGAAATTACACTGTTTTGATGGAAACTCTTTACCACCGTGTAAACGTGAGATGTATCAGAAATTTTTATGTGCGCATTATATTTGCAGCATTTGGAAAAATGCTCACAAAAATATCCAGTATTATTAGATCTACTGGAGCACGGCTGGATTGAAGAAAATGATAAGTACTTATATATTTAAATGGTTTGACGGAGATCAGTTGTCCAATTTTGAGAACGAATTAGTCGCAGATCTACCAGGTAATTTTCTTTTAGAAGAATTTATACTTTTAAATTATTTATTTTATTATAATTGCCTTGATTTACAAATTGAAACTTATTCTTTGCAGAAATAATTCCGTCTGATGATGAGAATGTAGATTACGATGGAATTGATGCACCTGACGATGAACCTGAAGGATACAACTCCGATAGCCAAGAATAATATGATTTGAATATTCTTAAAATTATTGAGTTTTTAATAACATACGTTATAAACATTTTCATGGATAAATTAATATTATTATGACATCATAACATTAAAACATAAACAAATAAATATTAACTGTTGTGTGCTTATTCGACACTTATTTATTTTATAACCCGTAATTATTATTAATTGCAATCAATATGAAACTAACGAGATGTAACGACTGTATTAGAGCGAGCGCTATTATAGTACGCGCTTATGGACGCCCCAGTAGTTTGTTATCTGCCTGAGTGATACAACCACAATATGTGTCTGCCGTAAAAATTATACATGTCAAATAATATTACCAACAATATATATAAATTGCAGCTTTATTGAAATAACGTAAATTATTAATATAAAATCGTACTTTTCAACCTGTCTGCCATGAACTTGAAACCATCATTGGTGTCTGCCAGTGTTATTTTTTGGTAACTTTTATTAATTATTTCAAGATGTCAAAGCGGCAGACTTATTCCTATCACATTTTTTTGGGTAATTTTTTTACATCTTTAACACCTGAGCGTCCGTATATCGACCGCCGGTCAAACTAAAGAGTCCCCGTTTCATGTACCTCAGGTATAGGGGATTAACTGAAAAAAACGTGAAGCTTATTGAAATACCGTAAGTCTGCCGCACACTGGCTCTTAAGCTAAGTGTAATTTTTTGTTCTTTTATCTGTGGATGTTATTTAAACCAGTACTAACTTTGGTACTAGCGGGTTCTCAGTTAGTCTGCGTTTTGTAATAAGCACACATTTTGATTCTGGTATTAACGTTAATACTGTAACAAACCTGGATCATCTTTTCCAAATTTAAAACCTGTACAAATTTTTTTTTGGAATAAGACCATACGAGTTTTACAATATTACACAATTAACAAATAAAGTAATATTTCCTTTTACTGAAGAGACTTAGTTAATATCTTCCATATTTTATATAAGTCCCGTCTAGTCCTATACAGTCCAGGGACGGGAGCATCAAAGGTGCGAGACGTCTACTACGATCGTCAGTCCGCCTTCCAGGCGTGAAGTGAGACCTGTAGTGGACTATAATGGGCTGATGAACATATATCTTTATGTTTAAGTGATGTCGCTTGCTTAAAGTGCCTCTCAAAGATACTAATACACTGTTCTTAACTAAATGTATACCACTAGATCTGAGATCTTACGTCCATGCGATTGCCTCGATTGACTCATTAAAAAGGGTATCCGGTACACATTACCATATGTAATACGGTAGCATGGCATAAAGCTGTTATTTCACGCTGGTAATCCGTGAGGGCGTGGTCCTTCTCCGGTCGAGCCGACCTATTCGTGTTAACCATAATATAGCTGCAGCGTGGTTCTACTATGTGTAAATAGATGTAAATTACAAGGCGAGTATTATTAAATCCTCACCACCGCGAACACTGCAACCATACTCTCGTAATCATCAAAAGGAGCCATATCAGGAACCAACAGTGTGGATACGAGATAGGCGCGGGTGATTTATATGCCTTATTACCCCTTTTCTCCTCTAGTAGTAATGTCGGTGAGAGCGATGGAGCGGGTTTAGATGACTCCCTTATTTTCCCACCCAGCATCTGTCACGGACGGGTCCAATACTGGGACAAGAAAAAGTAGGGCTGATATATGAATAGAGATATGGTAGATAAATCACAAAGGTATCAGCCACAAATTCTTCATAAGGGCTGCACTGCAGTTGAGTTCAGAAAATACTAAATAATAAGAAAGGTTTTCATAAAAGTAAAAAATTCAATATTCTTCAATAAATAAGTTTATTCAAATTATCAGCGTCCCTCGTCGATGGTCATGGTCATAGAGCTAGGCTCGTACTCGTGGTCGATCACCCGCGTCTTTATGATCTGCTTGTACACGAAGGCCGATTTCCTGGGCGTGCGCGTGCGTGCCGGGTCCTCGAAGTCCACGTGGTATAGACCGAAACGCTCTCTGAAGTGTGGAATTGCGATTAATGCTTATAATTTTTTTTTTAGTTTTTTAAATTATTAAGTAATTAATCTCCTTATGTGGAGTAAAGTAATTATTAAGGGGTTTATGGGTAATATGGGTAATCGAAACTATTACTTGTAAATACTAAATAATGAATGCTGAACTTAAACTTACGTGAAGCCTTCCATCCATTCGAAGTTGTCCATTAGACTCCATGCCATGTATCCCTTGAGATTCACTCCGGCGTTCAATGCATCCAAGGCACTTTCCAGAGCTGCTCGGTAGTACCTTATCCTATCGTCATCTACCAGTCCGGCATCAGGGCTGGTGGACCAGCCATTCTCGGTGATGTAAATTACTGGGCTATTGTATTTATTCTTAAGGTGGGTGAGCGCGTTGAGGATACTATCAGGTGCTTGCTAAAGAAGGAGAATAAAGACGAATTTAATATTTCATTGTCATTATTAATGTGTTTATATTTTAAATTTGGACATTTAGATTTCACATAATAATTCAACTACTTTGTTATACAAGATATTATATAACATATTAACGTACTTCTCAGGGGTAAACATTTATCTTCATTTTTATTCGAAATTGAATAGAGATTGATGTGTCTATGATGAGACTGCATGCTGGTTTGCAACCTTTTATTTAATAAAAAATAATTTGAAACTAACTTTTATGGATTTTATCGCGTTTAATTTAAATTTTGAATCTCCGACGTTGCGAGTGCTTCACAGCACCCTCGGGAGGGACTGAGGTGTTTGAGGTCCCGATATTATAGTTAGCCCGGCTACCTTCAGTTTTTGTTCAAAAACTGAATTTTTATCATCCGTCAAGTGTCATACCCTTCTGCAAGATGCAGGATTGTACAAACTGGATTGTGAATGTGGTCTCTCTTAGATAGGACAAACAAAAAGAACATATAGCTGACTTGAAGCACCGACGTTCCGGAAAGTCTGCAGTATGTGAACATGTTCAAGATCGTCCCTGCCATTACATTAGATTTGATAGACCACAAATCCTTGCAAAAGAACACCGATTCCTACCAAGGATGATTCGCGAGGCTATTGAAATTGAAACACATCCTAATTTCAATTGAGAAGATGGATGAGTGCTGCCATCTGCTTGGGATCCTATAATTAATAAAATTAAATCCAAACCCAAGCATACCACTGCAAGAATTCAAGATACTGTAAGCTCATTCTGCGTAGATCGGACCAAAAATTTACATTCAAAAACTGAAGGTAGCGTGGCTAACTATGACATTGGGACGTCAAACACCTCAGACCTCTCCGTGACCATGGGTGCTGTAAAGCACCCGAAACGTCGGGAATTAAAAAATTAAATTAAACGCGATAAAATCCGTAAAAATTAGTTTAATTTAATGTGTAGTCTTCGGGTAAATATAAGAAAACATTAAAAAAATAACTTAACCATCACAAATAATTTTTTTTATAGGAGAGGGGGCAAACGAGCATGCGGCTCACCTGATGGTAAGTGACTACCGCCGCCCATGAACAACCGCAACACCAGGGGAATTGCAGATGCGTTGCCGGCCTTTTAAAAAGGAGTAGGCTCTTTTCTTGAAGGTCCCTAAGTCGTATCGGTCCGAAAAATCGCTGGTGGTAAACTATTCCACAAGGAAGTTGTGCGAGGAAGAAAACATCTTCTAAATCGCACAGTGGTGGACTGCCAATCATCCAGATGGTGTGGATGGTATCGGGAGTACTGCCGCGATGTGCGTTCGTGAAATTTGGCGGCTGGGATTAATCCGAACAATTCCTCAGAGCACTCCCCATGGTAAATGCGAAAGAAAATGCTAAGAGATGCAACATCTCTTCGCAGTGCCAATGAGTCGAGCCGATCGGAAAGGACTCGGTCGTCGACGATTCGAGCCGCTCTGCGCTGGATGCGGTCAAGTGGAAGAAGCTGGCACTGGGGAGCCCCAGCCCAGAGATGGGAACAGTATTCCATGTGAGGCCGAACCTGCGCCTTGTAAAGTTGCAGGCGTTGAGCCGGCATGAAATACTGTCCCGCTCTGCTGAGCACGCCAAGCTTTTTAGAGGCCAATTTGGCCTTCTCTTCCAAGTGACCACGAAACTGCACGCTACTCGATATGTCGACGCCGAGGATTCCGATACTGGCTGAGGCAACAAGGGGAGTACCTTGAAACTGAGGAGATACGACAAAGGGGTTCTTTTTAGCGGTAAACGCGCAAACTTGTGTCTTCTGAGGATTAAACTGGACTAGATTTAGTCGCCCCCAATCCGAGACTTTGTCCAGCAAAGACTCGACTTCAGACACAAGTTTGTTCCGGTACTCGGTGACGTTTTCCCGAGAAATATTGGCACGGCCGGTGTATAGAGCATCACCAGTGCTGTCATCTGCATAGCAATGAATGCTACCAGCTTGCAACATATCATTGATATGCAGAAGAAACAGCGTTGGTGATAGCACGCAGCCTTGTGGAACACCAGCGTTAATAGGCTTGTAGTCGGAGCATGCACCGTCTACAACGACCTTGATGCTCCGATCTGCAAGAAAGCTGGTGATCCCATTGCATAATTTCTCGGGAAGCCCATAGGAAGGGAGCTTCGAAAGAAGCGCTTTGTGCCAAACCCGATCGAAGGCCTTCGCAATGTCCAAACTAACGGCCAATGCCTCCCCCTTGGACTCTACTGCCAACGCCCATCTATGAGTTAAGTAGACCAGAAGATCACCAGCTGATCGACACCGACGAAAACCGTACTGGCGGTCACTAATCAGCTGGTGATCCTCAAGGTACCGCATGAGGTGGCAGTTTACAACGGATTTCATTATTTTGGAGAACAAGGGGGTGATGGCGATAGGCCTGTAGTTGGACGGATCTGAGCGGTCGCCTTTTTTAGGGATCGGGTGGACAAAAGCTGTCTTCCATGATTTCGGGAATACGCCTAGGGAGTAGGAGTACCGGAAAAGACGCGTTAGAACCGGTGCCAACTCCGGAGCACACGTCCTCAGCACAATTGGGGGGATTCCG